TGAAAAATGCTTTCAACCCTGAGTCTCTTTTGACAAATGTTTAGTTATGGAATTCCTCTGGTGTTTTCATGTGCTTTAATGAGTGCCAAAGGCTTGATTAAGTTGGCAGAGGTTGGCCCAGAAAGAAAGACCTGCTCCAAGAGATTATATAAGGACCAGCAAAGTGGGGTTCCTGTCTAGGAGACAGGACAGAGAGGGCTGGGCAGAGCAGGATTTCTTGGTGTGCTAAGGGATTAGAGGAAGGAAAACGAGAAGAGAGGATTTTAGCTACATACAAAACTAAACATTAAAGTTTCATAACAGACAGCATTAAGAATTTAAATAAAGTCTTTCATGCAAGACGTTTTATTTCCTGGTGGTGCTCCCAGATCCCTTGTTTCTCACTTTTTATCTTCTACTGATGCCTATCAGTGCTCCTCTATCCTGCCCTCCCAACCAGCTCCATATACCTCCTATCACCTGACCTCCCCTTTCCTCCAAGACTGAGGAGTATGACACCTGCACCTGTTTTGAACTTCAGTCCCTATTGATACTTCTCTCTGTGTTCCTTCCCTGGCTCCTCCAGGGCAGCTGTTTGACCATGTTCTCTCTGACCCCTCAGTCTTTATTTCTAGCTCAGCACAGCCTGGAATTGGCAGCAGGTCAGCTTATACTCTGTAGACACATTAAAAGAGCTCTGTGTCAGCATATTCCACCCAGCAGCTAAGGTAGCAGGAAAAGATAAAATGATAAACAAAATACTACTGCTACTTTAAGGCACACTCAGCTCTGTTTGGACTTGGGCTTTCTTCAGGCAGATTAAAAATAAAGAACTTGGTAAACAAAGGGTACTGCTGCTGGGAAAAATACAAACCTGGCCTGAATGTGCAAAGCTAATTATAAGGAAGATACAGGTCGAACTTCCCTTGTCCGGCACCCTGAGGACCTGTGTGATCCCAAATACAGAATTTGCCAGACAAGGGGAGGTCAAGGCTCTACCCAGTTGTAGGCCCTGCTCCTGGCTGGGGCTGCACTCAGTGCCATCTGCTCCATTTCCTCTGGCCCTCCCTGTCAGCCCTGGCTGGGGCTGCATCCCCCTAGATAGGGGCCATTTCCTCTGGTCCCCTGCTGACTCCAGTCCCTGGTCAGGGCTGTGCTCCTGGCTGCTGGCCTGCTACTTTCAGCCCCGATGGGGGCTGTGCTTCTCACTATGCCAGCTTCAGCTGGGGCTGTGTCCTTCCCCCCTCCTGCCCCACTCCGCCACACCAGCTCTGGTGCACCATGGATGTTGCTGGACCAGAGAGTCTCAGATTTTAGAGGTTCAACCTGTAGTCGGTTTCTCTGTTCCCTCATGCAATCCGTGCCTGAGAGCTTCCTAAGCCTGTAGTCCTCTTCTTTACATCCCTACTCTAATGAAGCTCTGTTAGTATGATCCTTCCCAGTCTACCATAATGTGAGAGTAAAAACACCTCTTCTACATTGTACATCATCATAAATCCCCTATTAGACCTCTCTGAGAAACACTCAGCCAATTATCTTAAGGAAGGCCTGCAAAATTTAGTCTTTGTTGGCCATGTCAATTGGTAGGTAAGGTGAGTCAACAGGGAGGAAAGCCTGGAAACATTACAGACAGCCAACAAGAGAGAAACTTACAAAAACCACATCAGGGTGGAATCCTGGCCTACTGAAGTCAATGGCAAAACTCCCCTTGATTTCAACAGGGCCAGGATTTTAACCCATAACTTAAAAAATTCTGTTTCTAAATGTTTGCCTCAAAACTTTTCAGAAAAATTGTATTCTGAGAAGAGTTTGGGCCTATGTAATTTCAGGGGGATTATTTTCTTGTGAAGGAAACTGAGTTTGGCAAATTAGTGCTGGCCGTAACTACAGAACTAGCACTGGCACTTCATAATATTTGCTAATTATGCATAATCATTAAACTAAGCAAAGCAGTTGAACATTCAGTACCTGATTATCAGTGATGCGGAAGCCCCTTTTATTGTTTTGGCAGCATAAACTTATGCTCATACCGCATTGGTGCTGTAAAGAGTAGGGCCTTGGTGAAAATAAGGATCAAGCCCTAATTATTTTAAAATACATGATCCAGTGATAGGTCCCTTTAAACTCAATTATGCAGAAATATGTAATACAGCAAGGAACCCATACAGGTGACATTTGGTAAAAATAAGGAGGGCTTGTAGACCTAGAAAGTATAGTACAACATGTATTTTAGAAGGAACTTAAAATGACTCAACTAAAAAGTCAAATAAAAAAAGGACAAATGGAACTAAGACAAATGTAAGGACAACTGAGACAGACTGTATGACTGACAATTCCAGAAACAGCTAAACAGCTGGCAATGGTAGTTAGCACATCTCTGATACCACTTTTCAACAGATGAATTTTTTGTTTGTTTACCTTCCTGTTAAAATGAAAAAAAAAAAGCAAAATAGCAAAAGCCAGCTTTTTCCTCAGTTTGTTTGGTGCCTTTGCTAAGCAGTGTTACAGTTACAGAGGTGGGGAGGTTCACAGTCTTTGGAGCATAAAATCAAACTCTAGAAAAGTTTTTAAAATCAACAACAAAAAAAGGTTCTTAAAACATATAATCACATATAAAATCATACGGGATCTGCTGACAATACATGTTCATATGTCTGCATCCTGAAAAAGACTGTACACGAAGAGGCTTCTCTCATCAGATGGCATAGGCCTTTATGTCTATGGTAACACTGGTTAGATTTTGAGCTGCTATGTATATGGACTTCTGAAGAAAAAGGTCTGCAGAAAAAGGCAGAATGTCTTTTTGTTGTTGCTTTTAATGTTTAAAGGGCACGGAGTGAAGGTTTAGAATGGGTACTGTGATACATATATCCTCAGCCGGATGACGGAGCTCCCTCTGAAGTTAACGACAGTATTGACTGTGATCATTTCCAAGTCCAACTGAATGGTACGTGGCCCTTTCACGGGACGGGTCATCACTAGAGTAGCACTGATTGGTCCTGTTTGCTGTATGCAAAAGAGAGAGAGAGAGGCAGGTGAGATTTTGCAATATGATGCATGACGTTTATTATTTTACAGTATCCCACTCAATGTTTGAGTCTTTAACATTTCAAAATGATGATTCCTGAATCTTTCCATCCATTTTGCTGAGCTGGTCAAGCGTCATTATTTCTCTTTGATGCATGGAAAGATTTGGGCACAGAGTAATTAAGTGACTTGAACAAAAGTCAGGCAGAAAGTCAATGGTGTAACTGGGAATTAAATCCAGGTTTTCTGACCCCTAGTTTAGTGCCCTATACATTGTACCTCATTGACTTGGTGACTACATGCGTGGGCCAACTCCAGAGGAAACCTACAGGCTAGTGATTCAATAGGTGTCACTATTTTCTACAAAGGTATATACACAGCAATGGAGATGTGTGATCATAGTGCAGGCAGGTGCACGTCTAACAACTTTCATTTAGCTAGTATGAGTAACAAGGAAGATGTGGCAACCTGGGCTGCTTTGGGGCGAGTACAAGCTCACAGACTTGTCCACAGGGGTCCCCAAATACAATTTGGGATGTAACCTGTGTTGAAATCTGTGCTGCCTTATTCCCTCTTCCTTGTTACCCATGTTAGCTTTTCTCACTGCTCATTTGCTGTGTAGCCACTGACACAATGCTCTAGCATAGGGCTAGAGGACTCAGTCCAAATTCAGCAACCACAGCAGCACAGATGTATAAAACAGAGGTAATTAAAGATCCACATTAATCACTGTAAAATTCTTAAACAGACCATTGCATTCTGCCTCCCTAAATTCTCCTGCGGTCTGCTTCCAATTGGTGCTTTGCATTTCCTGTTCTGAACTGTTGTGTATTTACATGCACTGTTGAAAGCTACTGCACTTCACCAAAGCTGGGAATGCATTTCAATTAGGGCTGTTAAACTATTAAACAATTTAATTGCGATTAATTGTGAGTTTAATCATGTGCTCTTCCCCTTTGAAATGCTGTGGTGGCATTTCAACAGAGCAGCACTGCATGGAGCCTGAGATCAGCAACAGTCCCCAGCTCACCCCGGTTTCCATGCAGTGCTGCCCCTTTGAAGCGCCAGGGCAGCATTTCCAGGGGACAGTGCAAGGCAGAGTCTGGGGTCAGCTGGAGTCGCCAGCTGACCCCAGGCTCCATGCAGCACTGCCCCTTTGAAGTGCCGTGGTGGTGCATCAAAGGGGCAGTGCAACACGGAGCCCAGGATCAGCTGGAGTGCCCAGCTGACTGCGGGCTCCACAGCTGCCCCTGTAAAACACTGCCTCTGTGTGTTTCAAAGGGACAGTGGAGCCCAGGGTCAGCTGGGGTGTCCCCAGCTGATCCCAGGCTCCACATTGTGCTGACCCTTTGAAATGCTGCAGTGGCACTTCAAAGGGGCAGCACAGCATTAACACCTGCAAATTAACGCGTTAAAAATTTAACGTGTTAATGCTGGACTGCATTAATTGCAGGCGTTAACACATTTTCAATTGACAGCCCTAATTTCAATAGAATAGGAAGTGTCACTGTGTAAATGTATCGGTCTGTAAAGCATATGGTGACCCTTGCAGTTGTTGTACATAGGAAAGTTGTTGTACATACAAATCCATCATTATTATCTGGAGGAAAAAGCAGGAACATGGATGCAGGAATCAGAGGGGTAGCCCACATGCATCTGACGAAGTGGGTCTTTGCCCATGAAAGCTTATGCTCCTACACTTCAGTTAGTCTATAAGGTGCCACAGGACTCCTCGTCATGGATGCAGGAGGTGCTGACATATTGGACCAAGTAGCCTTTTCCTGTTTCTATTCATTCTTTTGCTTCATGCAGTTTATTTTGCTTTCATGCAGAGAAAATGTATCCATTTAAAGACACACTAGGGTGTGGTTTTAAGTACAGGCTGGCCCTTCTGGTCCAGAACCCTCGGGACCTGACTGGTCCTAGACAAGGGAGTTTGCTGGTCTAAAGGAGGCTGGGGGAGAGGGGGAGTCATGCCAGAATCTTCATCGGGCTCCTCTTCCTGCCCTCCTGGGGCCCCGAGCTGTGGCAGCCCTGCTAGCTTTGGAGCCCCATTGGCTGTGGGCTCTGGTGCCCTGCAAGCTCTAAAGGTCCTGGCAGCCCTGTTGGCTCCACCCAGTGTCCCTGCCCTGCCAGCTGTGGGCTGTGGTGCCCCGTGGGCTCTGCTTGCCCCACTGACCCTGTCAGCAGGCTCTGCTCCCAGCCACTAGATATCTCTGTGTTGGGGCTCTCTAGTCTAGCATCATCATGGTCCTCCCAAACCAGGGAGCCCTGGCCCACAGTTCACCCTATTACAAAATTTAGACTGTATTTAAAAAGTGTATATTACAAAAAATGTGTGTGTCTAGAAATCTGCTCATGAAAATTTTCCTGTTTC